AGAATCAGTACATTAACTGTTTGGCAACTGGACTGTGTAAATACATTTGCAGTTACTGTTAGATTGGTTTAATTCTTTTTCAAATGTAGCATTTGGTTTGTTTTTATTAAAAATAATTTTTCAAAATTTCACACTTATCTTGGGGTTGCAACTGTCATCCACTAATTAAAATTCCATAAAAAATCTTACTTTCTAAGTGTGAGCAGGTGCGTGTATGCATTTGTGTCTGCAGTGGTAAAATGCCTTGCTAATGAAAAAAAAAGTGTCCTTTGAAAGATCTGAAAACATTTTACTGTAATAAAGTGAAGAAAGCAGGGACAGTGTGTATGATATGCTACCCTTTGTATCAAAGGTGCGTGTGTGTGTGAGAGAGAGTGTGTGTGCGCGCGCGCGCGCATGCACTTGCATATATCCCTGAGCGTGCTTGTAATTCGATAGAGGCCTTTTGAGTATACACAAGGATCTGGTAGCAGTAATTGTTTTCTGAAAGTATGGCTGAAGCTTGGATAGAAAGGAGACATACTTTTTCACCATGTATCCTTCTTTATTTAAAAAAAATTTTTAGCACACACAAATTACCTATTCAAAAAACGTAATTGTTATGAACATCATTCCACATTATTAAATATTAGAAGTGAAAACTTTCATTACAGTAGCTATTTTTTTAATTTTTAATTTGCTGGGGAGTTTGTTAATGAATTAGGTATTTCTAATTTCATTAAATTGGGCATCCTTATTCTGTAGTCTCAGAGAAGAAAAAATAAGACAGCCTATAAAAAGTAAAAATACTATTTTGGGATTTCTTAGGCAATTCGCATTTTGGTCCAGGAGCGCCTGACACAGGATGCAGTTGCTAAAGCAAATCAAACGAAAGAGGTATGCTGTTTTTTTAATTTAAATAAATTCTAAATTAATTATTACTGAAAGTTTCTTTTGGTTGTCATGAGTTTGAACTTTGCCTGAGAATGCTTAAGATATCTATTCTGTGCTAGAACTGCCCAGAGAAAGAATAGCTTACTTCAGTGGAATTGAATTTGATTCTGAAGCAAACTGTATCCAGTCTTTTTTTTTTTTTTTTTTTTTGTGGTACGCGGACCTCTCACTGCTGTGGCCTCTCCTGTTGCGGAGCACAGGCTCCGGATGCGCAGGCTCAGCGGCCATGGCTCACGGGCTCAGCCGCTCCACGGCATGTGGGATCTTCCCGGACCGGAGCACGAACCCATGTCCCCTGCATCGGCAGGTGGGCTCTCAGCCACTGCGCCACCCGGGAAGCCCTATCCAGTCATTTTTGAGTGAAAAGTGAACTTCATGTTTATCTCACTTCATTACTTTTAAGAAGCCTCCAATAGCATATCCACAGTCTACCAGTTCAAAACCACCGCATGTGCCCAGTTAAAATTTCAAAGAACTTACACTTGTGAAATTTACTGGGTTATTTTGACTAACTGCTAGAAAACAGGACACACCTTCTCTTTTTTAGTAATTCATTTTCTTTTCTGTTTAAGTCTTTATCTTCACCCTTTTGTTTCTTCAGAGAAATCTCAGTTTATTCTATTTCCTAGCGTAAATCATAAAAATGTAGCTTGTTAATAAATCTAGGATATTTTTAGATGAACTGTCCTAGAAACCCAAATGCCCCTGAAGTCCTCTTGACTATGGGTCAGTACAGAGAATGTCCTCAGGGGTTAGCAGCTGCAGGTGTCTGATAATGCCCCTTCCTGCTACACAGATGAAGGTCTTGGGTACAGTCCACATTCTGGACCCTGGTCCTTCTATTGTGCCTCCCTCACCCTCCAATTCCCCAATGTCTTTTGTCCTCTGATCCCATCTTTATCGAAGCCCAACAGTATTAAGGTTATTAATGCCGGGGCAGTGTAGTCTCCTCTGAAAGACACTCAGTTTCTTTTAAAGGTTCTTATTGGCTTATTAATTATGTATGAATCAGGCCACTGGAAATTGGATTAAAGATCAGCTTATTTCACCCACACTATAGAACAGACAGTAAATTGTTCTGGCATAATAAAATCATTCATCATTCAGCAAAATTATGCCTTTGGTTTGGAAGGCAGTGCAAATAAGGCCATAGCCAAATCTCTTTGCTCTTGTTTGCAAAGTAAAATTCAGTTTATTTTCAATGCTCCAAATCTGAACTTTAATGTCATCTCAAAAGATACTATGCTGGGCTTCCATGGTGGCGCAGTGGTTGAGAGTCCGCCTGCTGATGCTAGGGGACACGGGTTCTTGCCCGGTCCGGGAGGATCCCACATGCCACGGAGCGGCTGGGCCCGTGAGCCATGGCCGCTGAGCCTGCGCGTCCGGAGCCTGTGCTCCACGACAGGAGAGGCCACAACAGTGAGAGGCCCGCGTTCCGCAAAAAAAAAAAAAAAGATACTATGCTATAATAATACAGTGGAAGAGTTCTATAGTTGAGTGTTCTTGTTTGCAATCGTTCATAACTAGCATTTGGGGCGTGTGGTCATCTTCAGGTGTGCCTGTTCCTAGGTGGTCTGTTGGCAGATGAAGGGAGAACAGAAACTCTGGTACCAGACTGACACAGAAAGCTACTGAAGTACAATTCTACTCTAGTTTTTTGCTAACAGAATTTTCATACCCATTTGTTTCTTCATGTGTATAATGTATTACTAGTGATTTTAAAGCATTTTGAGTCTGGGTAGATTTGCATTAATAATTAGGCAAGAAGTGAGTAGTGACAGCTTAGCATTTGTAATGTTGAAAGTATAGTGACCTTTTTTAAAACTGGTAATGATTTTATACAGTATAATCAGCAGAAAGTCTAGACTGCCTGTCCTCGTTTTTATTTGATGGTTATTGTGAACGTTATACAGGTTGGCGCCACCATAGTCACCATCTCTGGTATATCCATGCAGGTGCTGAGTGGTTAGCTAAATGGTTTAGATTCTGTTCATTTTCCTAGATGACTTCAAAGTAACTTTTAAATGAACTGTTGAAAGTTAATATAATCTGGTAAACATCATGCTTGCAGAAAAAAGTTAGTTATGTATATTTTAGATTTGTTCAATTCATAAAGGCAAATTAATGTGCTCCGAAGTAAACTTGCTTGAGGAAGGTCATCTTAAAAGTAGTCCTGGGCTTCCTTGGTGGCGCAGTGGTTGAGAGTCCGCCTGCCGATGCAGGGGACGTGGGTTCATGCCCCGGTCTGGGAAGATCCCACATGCCGCGGAGCGGCTGGGCCCGTGAGCCATGGCCGCTGGGCCTGTGCGTCTGGAGCCTGTGCTCCGCAACAGGAAAGGCCACAACAGTGAGAGGCCCACGTACCGCAAAAAAAAAAAAAAAAAAAAGTCTTATTTGCCCGGTACACTGCTGCTTACTATAACTGAAACGACAGTAGCAGCCCTGCTCAACCTTCCTTCCATAGCAGTAGTGATAGCACTTCTGCAAAAAAGAGCTATTCTTTTATATGCCTGGTCTTAAAGGATTGGATGTGTTATGGGACTAGCTGCCCACTACATGTAAAGGCCATTCTTTCCTAACTAGTTGTAGTAGGAAAAAACTCACTCATAAAAAGGCAAATTTAAAGAGAAAATTCTCAGGCACCTTGCCACTGCAGCTAAAAGGGTTAAAATAATAGCTAGCTGCTTTTCAATTTGAGGTGAGAAAATGTGAACGAATAACTATACAGTCTGATTTTTGTCCTTTTTTTTTCTAAAGGGCTTGCCTGTTGCTTTAGACAAGCATATTCTTGGTTTTGACACAGGAGGTAAGTGATTTTGTTTTAATTCAAACTGTTTTTAGAGACTTAGTGAATATTTGGGGGAAATGAGTGAATATATGCAAACGTTATTGATTAATGCAGCGTTTCTTATGAAACAGATGCAGTTCTTAATGAAGCTGCTCAAATTCTGCGACTGCTGCATATAGAAGAGCTGAGAGAGCTACAGACAAAGATTAATGAAGCCATAGTAGCCGTTCAGGCGATTATTGCCGATCCAAAGACAGACCACAGACTGGGGAAAGTTGGAAGATGAACATTTTAGGATTTCAGCTTCTCACCTACTTAGTACAGTTGGGAACCATGTACGCTTTGGCATGTGTTTGGAAATGTCATGTCTTCAAGGGAAGAATTCCAGAAAATTGACTAGAGGTATTTACCATCACTGCATTTTCTTTAATAAATTTGGGAAGGTGATTTTTTTGTTTTTTGACCATGTGTTATGTTTATGTATTTGTATAATTAATCTGCTTCCTCCCTTGTGGTTTAGGTACATGCCACCCCCCGACTTCATTAGACATATAGACAATACAGATCCTTAAGTAAGTCATAGGAAAACTTAAAATATTTTATTGGACTAATCTAGAAAATTTGAGAACTGTTACATCTTTAATATTTATATATAAATGTAATTTCTGTGGGTAATTCTATAGAGGGACTTACAGGATCAGAAAATACAAACTGAAACATTGTAGCACCTTTTAATATAAATAGAAATGCACTTATGCAGAGGTAAAAAAAAAAAAAATCTTAGAATAAGTTGGCTCTTTCCCATCAGTTCTGCATAGCCTTCTCTACGTCAAGGTTTATGATCTTTAGGGTCATATTTTTATACTGATCACATGTACTTTAATTTCTTGGCCAGGAAGAATCTGTAGCAATAGTCAGATTTAGGGTCTTAACGTGCTCTAATTGGTTCTTAGTTCAATTAATTTGGCCTTTTAAATATGACAAATGTTTATTAAAAGTTGCTTTAATAAGCAACAATTAAAATTGTTACCTTTTTAAACTTGAAATAACTTTTGTTTTTAAAAATACAGTAGTAAAGATTGAGGTATAAACTTTTCACAAAATATACTTAGTTGTTTTGCACTGAAAATGTTCATATGTCCAGAACTTCTAAAGGCCAATTGCTTTTTCACTTTCTTCACCTTTGTTCGCAGTAAATGTTCTTCAGGGTCCTGATTCCGATTGTAAACTCCCAAGTCCTTTATAATACCATATTTACTTTCTTCCTGTGGAGGGAGGGGACAGCATGTGAGTATTTTATATCCAGTTTGCCGCAGCAAGTCTTTTAAAGAGGAAATATCCTAATAGACCTTTTTTTGTGTGTACAGTTAAGTAAGGTAGACTTAAGGTAGTAGAATGGTCACCCCTATGCGTTGGCCATTAGCTTTTCTAGGTCAGAGTGGCACTCACCAGTGGCAGCAGCAGGCCAAGTGTGGTCAGTTACCAGATCTCTCTTTCTCTACCTGGCTGATCCAAAGGAGCCACCTGAGCATGTCCGTTTACCTGTTGGGCAGTAGGGGTAGACTGCAGTTATCCCGTAGAGATGAGATCGCTGCTCTGGGAGATACTCATCGGTAAACTGGCCACTGTCTCTATTTACTGATATAACACCATCCCTGGTAACAGAAAGGAAGAGTGAATTCATAGGATTTAAGGTTGGATAGAAAAAGCCATTTTATCAGGAGGAGAAATCTCTGCCAGACTTCTAGAATACATTTTTAAAAGTCAATTTAAATAGAATACATTTTTAAAAGTCAATTTAAATCACATAACTAAGTAAGACGCCTCAGGGTACCATTTTAAAGGTAGTCTTTTATTCTCTGAAGATCAGATTCAGAGTAATGTGCTTCCTTCTTGGATAGTTTATTACCAAATAGCTCTGCCCTTTTTAAGCTGCATGTGAGCAATACCATTAAATTTCTGGGTGACGTAAAAGTATGCTTCAGTAACACTTGAATGATGTTAATCTCTCTGCTAATGAAGAGAGAATGAAATGAAAACTTCAGCAGGAGGGCTTAATAACTAAAGTTGCTTACTAACATTTGGTACAAGTGGTGTGTCCTCCAAAACAGTTTGCCTTTTCAGGCTTGTCCAGAGTGTGTCAGGCTCACCTTCTCCAGTCGGTGTGGTAGAAGTGATCTGCATAGCTCACAATGCTGAAGGGGTAGTTGAGGTTGTTTTGAATAACACGCCGTCCAGTTCCATCAGGTAGTGTACACTCTAGTTTTTTAGTTCCTTTTAAAACATCAAAGAGGGAAAAGAGATCCTCTCATGCGATGGGAAAAAAAAAAAAATCCTTTACCAAAAATAGTGGCAGGTAAATTCATTCTCAAAGGAAACAGAGGTAGAACTAGAATATTCTATCCCCATTGCAATAATACAAATTAAAAACTGTAAAATTTTCCTATTCTATTACCAGTCTTCAGTTTGTTTAAGAGCGTTATAGTTTTTAGTGGAATTTAAACTCTTAATCCTTTTTTGGAAGAAAGGATTGCATTTACAGAAATCTGGCTAAGTTTCTCCCAAAGTAGGACATTAGAGATGAAATTATATCAGTGTTAAAAAAAAGTTTGTATTAGCTCTTAAATTGTTACAAACATAACATTTGGACAAATATTAATACTTGCCCTTTGTAAGCAATGTATAATAATAGCCAAGGCTGCCTTTTAACTAAAATCCTTAATTTTTTTTTTTTAAGACTGTATTATTTTCTAGTTAGGAATTAAAAGTTCCATTTTTCAATGTAAATTTTTTAATAGCTAAACGAGGCAAGAATCTCCAAGTTTCACATTTCTCAGGGAACCCTGATTTAAATTTCAAATACTTATTAAAAATATAAATGCAGTATAATGAAACAGCATCTTTTCAGTTGTGCTAATAATGAAATCACACAACAGAAAGAGAGAACCTGGGAATAGGCAACCCAGATTTATTACTGAAGGAAGCCATCCTGCCACATCGCTTTGTCCTCAGCACAATAGCATACTGACTGTTAAAGTAACAGATATTTATAAATGTTGTAATACTGGCAAAAAAGGAAAATAACTCCTGTTCATTTAAGCCTGTCGATTCCAACAATGGGTAATATTTATTTTTAACCTAAAAAGTGTGCCAAGTGCTCACGTGGAGGAAGGGCAAGCAGTACAAAAGTAGGTTGGACGTAGTACTAGCCCTCAAGCTTACCACCTGATTCAAACACATACATCCAGGACCTCAGGAAGTTCATCACAGGAGTCATTACAAAGTGCCCTCTAAAAGGAGTAGATCATTTGCTGTACTCTTATAAATGTAAGCCAGAAGTCCTAAACGGTGGGATTTGGTGTTACTGTAAAATCTGTTAGAGCGCTCACGCTTACTGAACATGGTAGTGTTCTGTATTTGCATTCCATGAGTAGTAGTACCTGCATCTGCCCAGCAGAGCAATTTGGAGAAGGGGTCAAAGGTTAAACCATTGGGTAGTCCAATGTCTTTATTCACTAGAATTCTTCTATTTTCTCCATCTAAAGATGACGATTCAATTTTAGGAGCTTCTCGATTCCAATCTGTCCAGTACAGGTTGCTGTGGGTAAATTAAATGGAGAAAGATAAACCTTCCTCAATGTATAGAACCCAAATTTCAGAACCATCTTTGAGGCTTTTCACTAAGCATTTCTGAGTCAAAAACACTTCGCTGAAAATGAAAGCTGAAGGTTATCTTTACTGATTTGAAGGTTTCTCTGTAACTTCATTTGGTAGAAGCCCCATTAAATGACAAGAGTTTCTCAAGGTATAGAAATCCTCCCCGATTCTAACAAGTCCTACTGAAACACGGACCAAGTTGTATGTCCCAGTTGATGACCTTAGCAATTATCATAGACAGGAAACATTGTTCTTTTGACTGTTGCCACTGTGAAAATGAGGCCAGAGAAATAACATGCCTGGTCTGAGTTTTGCTTACTCACCAGCTAATGCAGGTAACCTCACTGCAGGTTTAACACTGGGATTTCCTAATGTGTTGCTGGAGGAGACCGACTTCATTCCGGTTGAAGTGCTGTCTCAGGCTTGGCCTGATTGTCTGATCCAAAGTGCCCCCCAGTCTCACTCACATACTCTGAATTCTCTGTGTATCGCATCACAGGCTTAATAATTTCCTGTTATTCGTTAGTTTACTGTCTTATTTCCTCCTAGTAGAACCTAAACTCCATGAAAGGACAGACCTTATCTTTGCCTAAACAGTACCTGACACCTAGTAGATCCTCAGTGAATACTATTAACTTAATATATTTTGAACTTTTATGCCCATGTTCTGACCCTCCCCTGCAACTGTACTTAGAGCCCAAGGGCTTCCAATGAGGATCTACAGGTAACAGAGGAGAATTAGGGAAGCCCGGCTGACCCTCGGATTGGATCCACAGCGATGGCGCGGGGGTTCACCAGGTCCGTGTGGAAGAGGGCCCTGCGCTCAGAGCCGTCCAGCCTGGCCCTCTCTATCTTATCCAGGCCGCTGTCTGTCCAGTACATCGTTCTACGAAAGTGGTCGATGGCAAGTCCTTCGGGGCTTATCAGACCTGGAATAAAACAAAGGCAGGGCTGGAGCAACTGCAGCTATGAAAGGTGAACCTGAAGCAGAGAGCTCTGCTTACTATGTTTGAATAGTTGGGGGGAAAAATTCTTGAGAGTTTCTAAGTCAAAACACACAGAGTCAATAGAGGAACAGATCCTGCGTTAGTTTTTCTGCCACCTCTAGTACCCTCTAGCCTAACAAGACCTCCCAGCCTGCTGGCACCAGGCATCCCCAGGGCTGGGGCCAGGCAGCATCAACTGTAGCCGCACCTTGAATTCTTACTGCAAGCCCTTTCTATTCAGAGTCCTATCAAGAAGGTAGAGGGGAGACTTTGGCATAAAAGAGGCAAATAACTTGGACTTGGTAGAATGAAATGGAATGGGAATTGTCTTCTGGGTGAAGCTGCTGACCTGAGTTAATGATGGTCTCGGGCTCTGCTCCCGATTCCAGACGGGCGCGGCTAATTGTCCGTCCAGCAACGTCTGTCCAGTACACCATCCTCTCCCGGCAGTCGTAATCAATTCCCACGACTATGGAGCCCTTTGTGACCAAGACACCGAATTGGAAGAATTAGGATTCCTTGCATTTCCCCCGACTTCATGCTCGGCTGCAGCAAACAACCCTGCATCACATGGTTTTATGGCAGCCAAGCACAGTGGTTAGATGTGTTGGTGATGGAGGCCAACTTCCCAGGGCAGAGCCAGGCTTGGCCACTTGCTAGCTGTGTGACTTTGGTACTGAACTTCTATATGCCTCTGTCTCCTCATTTGCCAAATGAAGATAACAATACCTACTTCACGTGGCTGCTATAAACGTTAATACCATAAGTGCTTATAAAATATCCTAATCAGTAATTAATATACTGTAAGCTCTCAATAAGCACTATTACTGTTGGTGGTAAAAACAGAAGTGATTTCATGAAAAGATTAGCCCCTTCAGTGATTACAGGACAAATGCTAGTCTCAGCGAAGTAAGTCTTTTAATATTTCACTGGACAAAAACTGACTCTTTCAAACGTTATCAGCACTTTTTCAAAAAGCCTTTCTAAAATTTGCCAATATATAACAAAATCTACCCTCCCCTCCCCTGTGAGATCTTTCTGCTATCTGAGGTGCAGTCACCCTTACCCCCATCTCTGCCTTTTACTCCAAGGCAATCATTTAGTTGTACTCTTGTGTAAAAGAAAGTATACAACTTGATGGGTTAAGGAACTGGGGAAGGGTGGTCACCTGACCTCTGGCTAGGGAGCTCTCCCCTCCTTCCTTATTACTAAATAAATGATGCAGTCTTTTTTTAAATGCCGAGTCTGTGATATTCCTTTCCAAAACTCTGCACAGAAGTTGCTTCATTCAATTTCCAACCCAGAGCCCTGCTCTGAGAAGCCTGGCAGACGTGCAGAGCCAACATGCAGGGGCCACCCAGCTATCCCTGAGGTCATGCAAGCTCCCTGCTTGCTTAACAGCCTCCTGGGGCTGTCCTGAACTTAAGCCTCTGGGAGAGGAGTCAGTACAAGAAACTACAAGGCAGGATTAGGCTCCTGTGGAAGAGTGGGCAGTTTATATGGGAGGATCTGAAGGTCAAGTACAATTTTAAAATTTAAAGTCATCTGTCGAGGGCACGGGTGCATGGGCCTCCATTAACCCAGGGAATCATGGGATCCATTAACTCATGTAAATGATTTCAAGGTTTCTTGGAGGAAAAAGTCCCAGTTTAAGTAAGTTTCCACAAGATGTGCTTAGAACCCATATTCCATTTCTCTTTCAGTTCCACCACCATTACCATCAACAACCCTGCCCTCATCAGAGGCAAGTTCAGAAATGCAGTGAAGCCACCTGACTTGGCTAGAATAGACGGTTAGCTTGAGGTGATGACAATTTTCTCTTTTAGAGAAACTTTACAAAACAGCAGCGAGTATTTGGAAACTCATACACAACTCACATCTTGAAAACAAAAAACCCCACATTGTTTTCTGAACACCGGCTACTTCTAAACTTTTTTGGACCAGATAAGAGGTTATTCATTAACAGAAGTAAATGTAAACATGGATGCTGTATTATTCTTTCTCATAGATGAGCAAGTACCTGGAGCGTGAAGTTTAGAAATGGAATTAGGCGATTTTCCATTGTAAGTGTCAGTGCCCTTCTGGTGAACTCCCTTCTCTTTTCAACATTTTAGAGAAGAAATCCCTTCTCCAAAATGGAGTGCCTTGACCACAGGGAGGCTGCTGGCTCAGGAAGCAGCCAGCATCCCCTGGGGAAAGCCCTGTCCGTTCCTTTCCACAATCACCCACGCTCCCCAAAGTTTCATCTATGACGGAGTCAGAAAAGATAAGAGGCTGGTCGACAGAACCAAATGGGAGGGCAGAGGGCTGCAACGATGAGGCCATCATTAGTTGGCTTCCAGCAGAGATGTCTATGGCTTAAAGAGAATGCTGGGGACTTGGGTTTACCTTCTCTCACTTTCCCTTGGATCCCCACATGCCGCCTCAATACGTTGACAACTCTGAAATTCCCTTACCACATATCCGAGACCCCACGAGCCAACTGGAGAAAGCGGCCTTGGTCAGTCAGACGAGACTCCCAGCCACAGAGAGCCCCCTCCTCTTCTGTGTGTCAGGCTCCCGAAGACTGCAGCCCAGAAACCCTCCAGGATCCCCCTCCACCTCAGGCCTTGCCCAGATCTGGAAACCCGATGCAGACCCGCCCCCCGGGGGAGAAATCCACTTTACATGCAGCGACAGCAGGGTCTTGGCTGTGTCCTTCTGAAGCCTGGTACCATTGAGGGGCAAGTGGCCGATCTGCTGACCCTGGGCATAGAGCAGGAAGGTGCCCACAGGTGGAGGGGTCACGTCGGGCCGGGGCGTGGGCCGGGCTGTGGGCGGAGCAAGCGTGGGTATACCTGCCGTGGGGAAGAGGAGGGTGTGAGTAGCAGAGAGGGAAGGAAACGGGGTGGGTGGGGGGAGGGGAAGAAAAGTTACTTTCCCACATACCAGAGCCTCCAGAAACATCAAAAGTTTTCACCCTGGACAGATGTGCTCCAGATGTTCCTTAAAAGAAATTCTGATTTCTAGGGGTTTTCCCCAAAGATCAATTATGTAAATCACTGCCAATTACTGGGGAGGAAGACAACAAAACATTCCCCTCAGAACAAAGGAGAAAGTTTTCTTTTTTTTTTTTTTTTTTAAGGGAAAAACTCCGGAGCCAGTGTTGTGTCAGCTTCTCTCTGGGGCCCCAGGGTGACACGTGTCCCCTTTCACCCTGGGCTCAGAGTAGGGGAAGGGAGGAGGAACTGCATATCGAATTTAGTTCCAGATGTTCTAATTACAGAAACTGTTAATGACAAAACCAAATGTTAAATCTGAATCGGGATCTGGGGCAGACCAGGTTTTAAATCAACACGGCTTATCAGCGACTTCTTCTGTTGGACCTGTTCACCCCTCATTCCCCCACCTTCACCCGCAGCTGGCAGCTTTCCTTCAGGGACACCTCAGATGCTGCCCCTGGGTGCTTACATGCAGGGGTGATGCCTGGCTGGGAGCGGGTGCCCGGCACCTCTCTGCCGTCCTGGTCCACACACCAGCAGAAGTCACTCTTCCCGTGGCACTGCAGGGGCATGAAGTAGCCCAGGTCATCGCACTGGGGCACGTACTGGTCGTCCCTTGGTGTGCCACCGTAGTGCTCCAGCAGGCTTTCCCTCCAGCGCTCACAGACGGTCCGGGGCCTCTGGGTGGGCTCTGAGCAGGTGGGGACAAAAAGCCTTTGATTGTGAACCAAGGACGGAATGTAGCACGTGGCTTAAGATCCCCACTCCTGGCCTCCTGGCCTTCTTCCTCCTCATGTCCATTAACGACACCTCAGCCAAGCCCCTGGATGCTGGCCCCGAGTAGCAAAGTGCTCTAAGAAGTTCTCCACAGGAATCAGGAAAAGGGGTCGTCCTGATGCTCCTGTCTCCCTAGGCCAGAAGGATTGTCATCAAGGCCCAGCCACATCAGGAAAGAACAAGAGGAGGTAACAGGAGCTCAGCCTGGGAAGGGGCGTCTAACAGTCCTTGGGGACTCAGGGCCTACATGATGCTTAAAGCCAATATTTATTCTTTCTCGTTTCAAACTCCAGGACCTGCGTCTGAGAGGGCTGTCTTGACATTGGCCAGCGGCGTGTCTTAGAAAGTATTACTGAATGCCCTACTTACATGGCCTTGAGTATCTGTCCATTGGAAAACTATACTGAGTAAAAATAAAACCTACTGTAATTAGTATGTGTGAGCATAGGAGAGTTGGTGGCAAACAACTTGATACTGACCGTGAGACACTGCAGCTCTCTGAAGTCCTTTGGCCGCCCTGCTCTGGGCTTATCTCAAAGCTGAACCTTCTTCTGGAGGCTCCAGCTTCCCACCATGTTGCTCTGTCCCCTCCTTTCTCCAGCTTCCTTCCCCATCCTTCCCCCTGCCCCCCAGGCCCGTACCCCCCTTCCTCACCACCATGCCTAAACTCCTGTTAGCTGCCCTTGCAGAGCAGTTTCTCTGCCTGCAATTTTTTCCCAGACTGCTTCCACAGGGCTGCCAAGGCTCTGTCCCAAACACGGCGGTTCTCTGAGAGGACTGCTCAGGCAGTTTAACTTGTACAGCCTCCTAAGATAGGATTACCTAAAGGAACTTAAGTAGAAGGTACTTCTTCATTAATTCCTGCAATTCATGCCTATGGTCTGTAGAATCATACAGCCAAGTACCTACTTATACCACCATGTGGATGTGTAACAGAGATCTCAGAGGAGAACAAAAACTGGGCTTTCCGCCATCAAAGCTGCTCTCCCCTAGACTTTTCCATGTCACTAGACAGCACCTCCATTCTTTCCATTGCTCAGGCCCAGTCATCCCCGACTCCCTTCTCTCACTCTCCATGTCTGATATGTCAAAAAACGTCAGCTGTATATCTTCACATCTCACCACACCCACTCCTGTCATCTTATGCCAGGATTACTATGATAGCCTTCTTACTGGTTTCCCTGCTTCCGTCATCTTTCCTGCCCACCCTCTCCACCACCCCACAGTAAACTCAACTGGCAGCCAGAAAGAGTTCCTTTAAAAAAACTCATTTCATGTCACTCCTTTGGTCAAAACCTCCAATGGCTTCAAAGAACAGTTGGAAACATTACATTTGGGCTCCAGCAGCTACACTTCCCCTAGGAAAGGATGGTGAATAAAATCTTCAGAGCTTAAACCCAATGAGCACAACTCCAGGACTCACGACGTTTGTGGGAAACGGATGCCCTTCAGGCTGTCTCTATAGCTTATGACCCACAAGAAGCAAAGCTCTTTTTAAAACATCTTGGAGAAGGAGAGACTGACTTCCTCACCCAGATGTGTCTCAAAGGAACCAGAGAAGGAAATGCCACTTCCTCAGACACTCATCATCCATCACAAGGTGGGATTCCCTGGAGAAGTTCCCAGCACTGCCCCAGATCCACATAACAAACTCAGAGGATCAATTCTCAGGGGACCACCCAACGAGGCCCATCTCTTTGTTTGGAATGCGACACACAGCACAGTCAGCTTCTGGGAAAGGGGCACCTCACGTCACCTACACGTGGGCATCCCAATCATTCCTTATTATTTCAAGCTACTTCTTGATCCAACCATGGATTTATTTCTATTTCTGGTTGGCAGGGTTTTAAATATTTTTAAATTTTGGGCACAGAATGTTCTCTCTCCCTTCAAAGCTGACCCCATTATGCAGTTGAGACTGGTCAGAAATGGCAGCCGAAGACAAACCAGCACCGAGAGAGAAGCTTGGCTGTGGGAAAGAGTCTGCACAAAGGAACATGTTCTTCTTTTAGTAATTAACTTTTCATTCTCTTGGCTCCCTTCTGGATCACTGTTCTTAACACATGCCTGTCTTAATAAATTTCATAGAATTCTGAACCATTCCCTTAAGGTGCCTCCCAACCATCTGATTTCTTCAAACCCCAGCTGGAGTTAGAACCAAGACCTTTAAAAGACTAGGCATGAGTGAAACAGAATTTCTCTGTATTCCTTTTTTGGGACCTGCAAAATATTTTCCTAAAAATAGGGACAGAGAGGAACTAGGAGTGTCACTGTGGAAGCAAGGGTATATATACATCTAGATCAAGCATTAACACTTTCTACTTATATGAATCTTAGAACCACTAATGTCCTGGCCATCACAATTCATATTATTGAAAGGATCAAAACTGGTAGTAATTCTCCAGTTCTTACTCTCATACGTTAAAAGCCAAGACTAGTACTTATGGAACCCTTTTCAATAGTAAAAATGGATCTTTGGGGGCTTCCCTGGTGGCGCAGTGGTTGAGAGTCCGCCTGCCGATGCAGGGGACACGGGTTCGTGCCCCGGTCCGGGAAGATCCCACATGCCGCGGAGCGGCTGGGCCCGTGAGCCATGGCTGCTGAGCCTGCGCGTCCGGAGCCTGTGCTCCGAAAGGGGAGGGGTCGAAATGGTGAGAGGCCGGCGTACCAAAAAAAAAAAAAAAAAAAAGGATCTTTGAATAGCAAGCTCATGGATATGTATAGGAATTATTTTGGCTAAAATGATATCAAACCAATTCTATGTTCTTCATAATAAAGTTCTTCTGTATTAAAAGAAAAAGTTCTTCCCGTCTTTGAACTCAGCGAGGCGTAGAAACCTGCCTTGGCAACCTGCAGTTGGCATGAACTGTGAGCGCTTGGGAACCACACCTCACACAGGTGGGGGGTGCTCAGACGGTAACAGACAGGTTCATGCGCTGCATCTCAGATCACGCAGGCTAACGAAACGGGTTCCTGCATCTCTTCTAAAGGTGACAGGAGCAAGAGCGATTCCCCATCCACATGCGAGCCTGGCTAGAGAGGGCTGGGGTTACTTGCTTAGAGCAAACTAGCTGCATCCGCCCACACGTGTCACACTTATTTTTCCCACTGATACTAAAACAGCCTTCAGACTGTTTCCTGCGCTCCAGAAGTCAGAGTTAAGTGATGCAAAGTTACATGGGAAGGCAGTTTCCCTTTTGGACAAGAGGCTGGTCTGGCGAGGTCATCAAGCTCTAAGATCTCCCTAAGCTGCAGTAACAGATTTGGGCAGTGACCTCAGCCTGACCTCCACACTGTTTCAACTTCTAGTCTTGTACTTGTCTACGAGGCTGGAGTCCAACATGCATGTCACGCATGGGTCTGTGTGTCCTGTAAGATGAACGTGCACATAGGTGTGTGCCCACCATTCAAGTGTTCCTAGGAGGAAGGAGGCTGTGCAAGGAGGATGATCAGCCCTGAGTCTGCGTGGTCTGGGCAGGGGTTATAATCTATCCCACAGTAAGCAGCATTCTGCTGCTCTGCCCCAGGCCTGTGCTGGGACCAGGTGTCTTTCCGGACTGGCTTACCTCGTGGTCCGCAGTGAGGCGGGACGGAGCCAGGTGGGGTCCGGGTTCCAGGGACTTCCTGACCATCGGGGTCCACGCACCAGCAGAAGCCAGTGCTGCCGTGACACTGAAGTGGCAGGAAGTGGCCCTGCTCATCGCACTGCGGGATGTGGAGCTGGGCAACAGGATGAGTGCGCTGGGCCTGGGCATCGCGCTGCTGGCGCTCACAGGGTCTCAGTCCAGAGGTGGGGTCTTCCGGGACCAGAGCAGAGGAGATACAAAGGAGGAGTAAAAGGCATTGCAACCCATCCACTTTTACCAGCCAGCCTCAAAGTCTCCTGAGGGTTTCTTTTTTTCTATAACTGGAAGACAGGATAACATGGGAAAAATAGCAAGGCGCTGGAATTTTGGAGTCCTGGGTTCTTATTTTAGCTCTGCCACTATCTACCTAATTTCTCCCTAATTCCCGCAGTTCACCCTGTAAGTCCTGGCTGATGATACAGTGAAACAGGCCTCTCCCCTCAGCCCTCAGGGTCCTATTGTTATTTGGGTAAAATGAAGAGCAACCCATGACTTCTGTCCAAACATCCCAAGAGACTCCAGAGAAAACAATTAAAACTGTGTTCATCCCCTGAGGTCCAGAGCTGAAGTCTGAGAAACTCCAGGTCAAGGGCAGTTGCTAGACTGCACCGTGTTGGCCAAGTTCTACTAGAACAGTCACCATGGGGGCTAACTCCCCGCCCACTACTGCATGTGCCTCCTGGCCGGTCAGCTCGATCTCAAGGCTTCATCTAAATTGTGCACTTATCAAAGCAAAGCAGATCACCAAGAGAGTTAACCAGAACTGCTACTAGGTAGGACCATGGATGGGTCATACGTCGGGCCTCCCAGAATGCTAATAACCAGTGAACTATCAGTAAACTAGGCAGCCAGAAATAATGCAGGAAAAAATCCAGAGCCTGGAAGATCCACCAACTCAGGCCTCAGACCCGGATAAGTCAAGAGTGGGCTGAGGTGCTGTAGAAAAACAGCATTGAAGGATCTGGGAGTTTTCTGTGCCTGA